GAAGTGAAATACTTTCATGACAGAGAAAAGGCCTTACATTTGACACATCCTCAAGACATTCAGGGATACAAGTGTTTCAAAAAAGGTTCTTTCAGGTCAATGGACCAGCAGAGGAAGGCTGGGAAGGGGCTGGAGCAGAGGCAAGGGACCCAGGCTGCTGAGTGGCTGGCAGTTTCTTTTGGGTAGTAAGGAGCCATGGAAAGCTTTGGAGAAGGGCAGGGAAGTACTCGAAAGCTGGTTTTGAGGGGAGGGGACACTGTGCCATGGTTGCAGTGGTGGCACTTGTAGGTATGTCCAGACAAACAGTTGAACTGGGCGCAGGTTGATGGCCCCCAAGGAAAGCCCTCCATTTCTACTGTGTGTGTGCTTAAAAAGGCAGAGTCCTGTGCTGAGCAGTGTACATTATTTGGACGATGAACACACACAAGTGAGTAAAGCAGCCAGGATTTGCCCCATTTAGTGAGTTCTCACTGAGATTCCTCCCCCACGAGCTCCTCCTGCCAAACCATGAGGAACTTTCCTGAAATTGTCTCTGAACCCAAAGACGAACTTGTGCAGAAGAAAAAGACACCCTAGAAGGAAAAGAAATGAAAATCAGAGCATGGGAGTAAATTTAACAGTAAATAAATTCAAATAAAGTACAGCAAAAAAAAAAAAAAAAAGGTGAATGTGGGCCGAATGTGCTGGGATTGGGTCCAAGGTGGAGAAGAGGGGGCAGTCCTTACACTTGTCCCTGTGGCTAAATTCTAGTGTGGGGGCCTGTAGCGCACAGGGAAGGTCCACCACCCCCACCCACAGGCGATGCAGATTTGCCTCCCAAGTGCTCCCTAGTGCCAGGTGCGCAGGCTATGGCTTCTGAGGAAGTACCAAGTCCAGACAGGCCTGACTGTCACCCAGCTGCTGTGTGGCCTCGAGGACACTGCTTGCTTTTCCAGGCATTGTCAGAGACGGAGGAAGAGTCGGAGGCTGAAAGGCCCATGAAGCTTTTCAGCCTAGAACCTGGCAAGAAGCCCCCTGAATGGTCCCTGCTTAGTGCCAGCTGCCCTCCTGCCCCTCTCCTCCCAACCTTGTCGCCGCCAGCTCTGGCACCTGTGTTTCTCGGTCCCAAGCCTGTCTCTGGTTTTCAGAGTCTGGCACACCTCAGACCAAAAGTGACCTATTGTTTGGGCAGATCCCACTTCCCTTGGGCATGTTCTTCGCTGGCTTCCAAAAGCTCACACAGGGATGGAGCCCTCGTCCTCCCCACTAATCCTCAAGTACAGCCACCTCTCAACCTTTGTCTCGGTTCTGCATTTTCCTACTTCTGTTTCCTGGACTAACCTCCCAAATATATTCCCTGACCAGGGCCATCCTCCTGTCTGTGGGCAGTCAGCCTAAGTCAAAGGCACAGTACTTGTCAGGCACTAGACACACACAGTGATCCCGAGGGTGGTGTGTGCCGACGAAGCCTGGGGCTCACGCGTGCTTCCCACCCTGGTTCCCAGGCTTATGCGGATAAGCTCAGAGTCACACATTCACCTGCTTGGGCCCAGGCCTGCAAAGCATCTTCCGCAACACCGAAGCCAGGTGCACCGACAGCTGCGCTGAATTATAGGTGATTGCTCTGGATCTGTCAGCTGATAGACAGAGCCTGGGTCACACTGGAGTACCAGGCATGATACAAAAATATGATGGATATTTCGATTTTTAATTTATTAACAGTAAAAGACATATTGCCCCCTCAAAATCCTCCCCTTTGCTTTGAACACATTTATCCAGTGGCCACTTTCTAAAACAGTTGTGAAAGTCCTCTTTCCTGAGAGTCTTCAGTTGTCCTCCTGTGGCTGGGTGACATCCTGAATCAGTCCAGTGTTTACCTCATGGTCATTTTGAATGTGGGAAAATCCAGAAATCATGCGGTGCCAGATCCCATGAACAAGATAGTGAGACACATTGTGTTGTTCCTGGGAACTTTAACTTTCTGATGAATGGCACACAGCAGCAGCATTTGGCATATTTTTGATCACTTTTCATAAGAACATTTACAAAAGAGGGCTTTCAGCACCGTGTCAGAGAGTAGCAAGGACCACATGTAAGGGATTTCTAAGTGAAGGAGAGTATTTTTGAGAGGGATGAACAATCATGTGTCTTTCTACTATAACTTCTTAAAAATTTAAACTTTGGGGCTCGGGAGACAGCTCAGCAGTCTAAACACCTGCCTGGCAAGCACAAGGGCTTGGTTTTGATCCCTGGTACTGCATGCCTTGCTGGCTACTGAAACCTGGCATGGTGGTGCACACCTGTAATCCCAGAGCCGAGGAAGCTGAGACAGGAGGATCACTAGCGAGACCCTATAACAAATCAATCAATCAATCAATCAATCGATGGATCAATAATTTAAATTTTAAACATTTACCTTGTATTTTGTGTGACGGACAAGTGACTTCACTGGGGTGAGTGGTGGCCTCCCCATCTTAAGGAGGCATCCGATGGGAGCACAGAAGTCGGGCCCAAGGGACTGAGAGTGACTTGGACAGCCTGTTCCCTGTGGGTGAATGGGTGGTGTCAATGCTGCCATGCCCACATCAGCTTGCTGAGGCAAGCAACGCCACCTTTGTTTTACAAATGAGGATTTGGCCCAGGCAGTTAGAGCAGAGGGAACAGTGCCTCGGGCATCTAGCAAGGGACAGCCCCTATCAATTAGCCTAAGGTAAGACTTGAGGTCCAGCAGGAAGAGGCAGGCCTTCTGGACAGAGGTGGGCGTGGGGGAGCTGCCAGCCTGGCAAAAGGCAGGCAGGCTGCAGGGAGCCCCAGAGCAGGCCTGGAGCCAAGCACAGTGAGCTGGATCCCAGCCCTGACACCATAAGCAGCATGAGTGGACAAGTAGGTGACCTGAGCCCATCCCAGGAGAAGTCGCTGGCCCAGGTGAGTGGTGGCAGGGAGAGACCTCCACTAGCCTCAGTTTCTCTTTCTGCTCTGAGGTCCCTCTACAGTTCTGAATCCCTTAACTTTTTCTTTTCTTCTTTCTTTTTTTTCTTTTTTCTTGAGATAGTGTCTCTCTATGTAGTGGAGGCCTAGCCTTGAGCTCACAGCAATGCTCCTGCCTCAGCCTCCTAAGTGTGAGGTGTGCACCACCATACCTGACCGCTCTTCTTAATTTCTAAAATATTCTTGGCCAGAAACTACTCTTAAACTAACCAATGGAAATATAACATAAACCATAGATGTGAGCCACACATGTCACTAAAATTGTCTCCTAGTCACATTGAAAACTAAAAGGAAACAAGTGGGGGAAAAAAATGTTTTTCTTGAGACCCAGTCTCCCAGTCTCCCTGTGTAGTTCAAGCTGGCCTGCAACCACATATTCTAGTATGACTTCAAACTCAAGATCCTCCTACCTTAGGATCTGAGCCTTGGGATTATAGGCATGCACCAAGACATCTAGCTCCAAAGTTAATTTTAATAATATATTGTAACAATGCAACCAAATTACAATCACTTGAGTAGGTAATCAATGCAAAAAATTACTTCAGTGGCTTTTTTAAATTAAGCATTTGGAATTCTGTGCGTTGCACTCGCAGCAAATCTCAACGTAGACTAGCCCTATCAGCCATTTATGGTTTCTGTGTTGGATACTGCAGCTGTGAGACACTGGCCCACAGCAGGGGGCTGTCGTGCCGGCCACATTCTCCACTGTAACCTGGGGGAGGCAGGAGCAGGCCGTGGTTCCTCTCTAGCACAGGGCAGTTCCTTAGAGGTCAAGCATTCAGTCTTTGTCTCATGATTCTATGTGGGACTCCAGGGAGGTCCACACACTTCCCTGAGCCCAGAAGGCATGACCAGGCTGAGTCCTGCCCCAAGGGGATCAGCACTGGGAGAATGACATTTGGTCTAGGCCAGGGGTCGACCTCTTACAATGATCTGGAGGGGTCAGGGGGCATAGCTCAGTGAGAGAACATTTGCCTCACATGCATAAGGCCTTGGGTTCCACTCACAGAATGAAACAAAACAAAACAAAAAACCACTGGAATCAAAAGCTGCTGGCCTTGCCTAATCAAGTAACATCACTATTTCCAACCTCAGGGAACAGAAATAGCAGCACTATCAGGATTAATTTATTGTTCAGCCTGGGGTCAGAAAGGGCCCTTCATATTCCCAAAGATAAAAGTTATCAAAAAGAACTATAAAAATGAACACACACTAAAAAAAAATAAAATAAACACACACACACACAAAAGTTATCAACTAGTTTGGAGGAGACAGTCTTTTGTGGCCCCTTTGGAGTTCAAGGTGATAGAGACTCAGGGAGAGGGGAAATGACTCAGGCAAGGACACCTGGGGACAGTGTGCCCTGTCTATTTCCGGATTCATCAGCATTGGAGGCTGGCTTTGACCCATCATGAAGGTAGGGCCACCACCCAAGAACAGACCATACATGGTGGTCCTGGGCCAGCTGAACTGTCCCAGTGAATGCCTGGGAACTGGTTGAGAGAGGATCTTCTCTGAAGCCAGGCCAAGCCACTTCTCACGTGGGCCTGGATGATGGGCTCTGATCTAGATTTGTGATGCGCCTACTGGCTCTGCCACTCTGGCTGCGTGACCCCGGGCAAGTTGCTCAACCTCTTTGAGCCTCACATTCCCTGTAGCTCACCCTTTCACCTGACCTGACCTGGAGACTACTTGAGGATAAACATCAAGGCCATGACTAGGGTCACTGCCTGTCCCCACATCCCTGGGAGAAGTGTCAGGTTTGTAAGTCCTCTCTACCTTTCATCCACATTTAATCCTTTCAGAAGATTTGTGCAGCTGGCTCATTATTATTTCATTTCCTGGAGGCAGAAAAATAATTGCCCCAAGTGGCCCAGTTTCTGGCTCTCTCTGGCTCATCGGGCCCTTTTTGCTCCAACACCCTGTTCCCTAAGGATAGGTGAAGCCTGCAGGCTAAGAGTGGGCTGGCCGGCCCCCTGGTGGCCTCAGGATCACATCCGAGCCTCTCCCTGCTGTTCACAGTTCCGGGCTAACATCCAGGAGGTGCTGTCCACCCTGCCCAGTTCTGATGACTTCTTCCTCCTCCGCTGGCTCCGAGGTGAGGTAGAGGGTGGGTGGGGTGAGGCTTGGGGCACATGAGAGGTGTGTACCAGTGTGTTGTGCTGTGTAACAATAAAGTCAGTCTTAGTATCCAATTAATATCTGCAGGGGGAGGTTCAAGGACATCAAAAGCCTAGGTGTTCAGGGGCTTCATATAAATTGGCATAGTATTGGCATGTAACCTGCCCACATCCATCCTCCTTGCATCATCCGATGGCTTAGGATACCTAATACAATGTACGTGTGACATGGTTATTATGTTGTGCTGCTTTGGGAATAATGACAAGGAAAAGCCACACATGTCTAATACAGATGCAATTTATTTTTTCAGATATTTTTTATCTACCAAATAGATCAAAATCATTCATTGTTTGAATGACAGAAGTGGATTCTGAGGATAGGGTCATTGTATTCTAAAACAGAACTGCTTTATTTTATTTTATTTTATGAGGCACTGGCTCACTTTGTAGTCCAGGGCCTTGAACACACACCCTTGTAGCACAGGATGGCTTTGAATTCCCAACAATCCTCCTTCCTCAGCCTGCGATTGCTGGGATTACGAGTGTGCACCACCACGCCTGGCCAACAGAGCTATTTTAATCAAGAAGAAACATGTATTATCTCCCAGTTTTCCATGGCCAAGATTTATGTGGTTGATTCTAGAAGCCTGTTAGGTTTCAGCCAAGATGTGGCAGCCTGTGGCCAAATAAGAGTTTGATGGGTCTGCAAGATCTGCTTCCAAGATGTCGCATGTACCTAATGAGTCAGCGCCAGCTGTTGGCAGGAGGTCTCAGTTCCACCTCAGGGGATCACCCCCCCTCCCCATATTAGACTGCTTGAGTGTATACACAACATAGTGACTGGCTCCCTCAGAGGGAAAGAGAAACCGTTTTCTGGCCTGTTCATAGGAACTAGCTCCTCTCTCTTGTCATCTTGATGCCCAAATGAAGCCAATGTGGGGACAAGCCTGAGGTCCTTGGGATCAGATAAAACCACATGGTTCTCAGCAGCCAAGGGTGCTTGGAAGAAGCAGATCAGAAGTAGAATCAGTCACCGGGTATAGACTTAGGAGTTCACAGCAGGAGGATCATGAGTTCTAGACCAACCTGGACTATATAGTGAATTCCTGTCTTAAAAAACAAACAAGCTGCCGGGGAGATAGCTCAGTAGAATAAGTGCTTGCCTGGCAAGTGCAAGAGCTTGAGTTCAATCCCTGGTTACACACACACACACACACACACACACACACACACACACACACACACACACAGAAAAAGAAAAAAGAAAAAACAAACAAGCAAAAAAAAAAAAAATACAGCAGAGTGAGCCAAGAGTCACAAGGTTGCTCCGCAAGAGAAAAGTGGGGACCAGCCTGGACAGCTATTTTCCCTGTAAACAGCCGAGGCAACAATCTCAGCAGCAGAGGCCTTCTGTCCCAGGTCCCAGGCATCTGGTGAGGCTCATAGATGGAACTGGACCTGGAACTTGGGGACTCCATTTGGGAGTCTTTTCTTATGTGGTGGCAAATTTGCTATGGTTGAAATGGCTTGTCTCCCAAGGGTTCAAGTGTTGAAGATCTCTTCAGTCTCTGGGCACCACTGGGAACTGACCCTGTTTGTTTATAAGATACATTGGATATTTTTATGATTATAAAACAAGGATATATGGAGCCATCAAGATAGCTTAGAGTACTAAAGCACCTGTTTGGCAAGATCACGGTTTGATCCCCAGTACTGCACGCTGCGTGAGCACTGCCCTCACGGTAGGCTGAGCCAGTCAGAGTCCAGGTGGGCGTGGTGGCGCAAACATGTAATCCCAGCGCAGGGGAAGTTGGAAACAGAAGTATCACCACAAGTCTGAGATGCATAGTGAGACCCTGTAACAACCAAATACATTTAAAAATAATAACAATAAAAAAAATGGAAAATCTGGAAGGTATGGGAGGGGAAAGTACGAAAAAGGTTTACACAAATCATTGGTAATCTGACATGATTATGAGGCAAATTAACATGCAAGTTTTAAAAACACAATCAGGTTCATATATTCTAAACTGTTTTGTTCACTATTTGCAGAACTTTGCCTTAGGTCACTGACATTTCCCTTCTTCCTCAGAAAGGGTGCAGAACTCTAGAATATATTGGAAGGTGACTCTCTGTCCCCAACTTGGCTGTTCTACCTTCTCAGTTGGACAAAGTTGGCCCATGTGCACCACGAAAGAGTTGAGTTATATATCTAAAGACTGAAAAGTGGCTGCTAACTATGACAGGGACCTGGATGTCTCCCAAATGTCATGTGTTTTTAGGCCCCAGTTGACACTAAGTGGTGAACTCTTTATGAGATGAGGCTGGGTGGCCCCTTCCTCTTTTGATTTCTGGCTGCAAATTGAGCAACTTTCCTCAGACATCTGCTCCAAAATAAAATTTTTCTGTTTTTTGTTTTTCATTTTGGGGGACAAGATCTCATCATATAGCTAGCCCCAGCTCACTGTGTAGCCCAGACTGGCCTCAGCCTCTTGAATTCTAGAATTATAGGTAGACACCACCACATCTAGCTCCTTTTCCTTTATAAGTAAATTATCTGAGGGATTTGTTATGGTTACAGAAGGATGCCCAATACACAGTAGTGAAAAGCCCTGTTGTTATTTTATTTTTTTTAATTTTAATGATAGGAGAAAAATGTGAACATACTTTCATTGCAAATTGCTATGGCTGTGTCTAGATGTCCCCCCAAAGCCTCACAGAGTCATAGATGGGGTTTTGTCAGTGACTGGACTGAGAGTGTGTGGCACTGGAAATGATTCATGGTGCAAAGCTAGGCTAAGGGGAACCAGGAATAGGGGTGTGAGGGCTACCTGCCCTGAGCAGCCGGGTAGGATATAAGGGTTAGAAAGAGCTGTGGTCACGCCTTGCTTGCTTGTTTTTGCTGTCTTCCACTTGCTGTGAATGTTTCTTATCTCAAGACCTGTCTGCCATACTTCCTGCCTTGGAGCCAGATGGTTATGGACTTAGGAACTCTATGAACTGTGAACTAAGTAAGCCTTTTCCCCTTTAACTATGGGTGTCGACTATTTTGTCTCAGCAATGAGAAAAGTAATGAAGACACAAATGATCACCTTATCAATAACAGTGACGTCTCTGCGGCCTTTGAAAGTCAACATTATCACCAGTTTCTATCTTACCTATTTTTTCCAATTTTTAAATTGAAGCAAAATACATAGGAAATTTTCCCTCTTAACCATTTTTAAGTACATTCATAGCCTTGTGCAACTCTCACCACCATCCATCTCCTGAATTCTTTTCATCTTGTAAAACTGAAATTGTCCCCATTCAACTCTAACTTCTCACTTCCTCTTCTTCCATCCCTGACAACCACCATCCCACTTTCTGGCTCTGTTATTTTGTCTGCTCTATATACTTCATATACATGGAGCCACACCGTATTTATCTTTTGGTGCCTGGCTTAACTCACTTAGTGTCTTAGTTATTTTATTGTCCCTGAAGCACAATACCTGATACCCACAAATCTAGGGAGCAAGGGTTTATTTTGGCTCACAGTTTCTGTAGGTTTCAGTCCATAGCTAGCTGGTTCCTAGGCAGGGCAGTGATGGCAGAGGCTCTTGGCCAAGGAAAAACTTCATGACATGATGAGAGGAGACAGACCAATCAAGATGGACCTTCGCAGGCCACGCCCCTGGTGATCCACCTCCTCCAACGAGGCTCCACCTCCCAACATCACACTAAGCTATAAACTTGTCTGTGGATGACCCAGTGGTACCCAGTGATGAGTATCACACACCTGTAACCCAATAATGGCCCAAAAGCCCCATCAAAATGACAGGAGGCATTAGAAGTCGTATGTAAATATAAACCATAACACTCAGCACAGTGTCCTCAAGATTCATCCATGTGGAAGCAAGTTACAGAATTTTGTTCCTTCTTGAAGTTTCTTTTTTTTTTTTTTTTAGCAGAACCGGGGATTGAACTCAGGCCCTTGTGCTTGCCAGGCAAGCACTTATTCTACTGAGCCATCTCCCTGACCCCTTGAAGTTTCTTTTTAAGGTTGACTAGCATCCCATTGTACGGATACACAACATTTCTCTTAGCTATTCATCTGCCAGTGAACACTTGGCTTGCTTTTATATTTTAGCTGTTGTGACTATCATTGTTTTTGTCTTTGTTTTTCTGTGGTCCTGAAGACTGAGCCTGGGTTCTCACGCATGTTAGGTAAGCAATCGACCGCTGAGTGCAACGTTGCTATATACCCAGCAATAATGCTGTTAGGGCTATGGGGGTACAAACATTTCTTTCAAACTTACATTGCTGACTGTTTTCAATGTATTTTCATGTACATATGCAGAAATGTTTATATAGGCAATACAGTATAAATATAAACTTATAACAATAAAAATATAAGTGATACAATAAATAGAAATCATGATGCTATATGACTTTATATACTTGGTGTTCTCATCAGACATAGTGATACAGAGATCTGTTCATCTTAATTTTTCCTGTCTTTTCTAATGGTTACATAGAATTTCTCAGTATGGTACAACCATCATTTATTTGAGTCCCCTACGGATGGGCATTTAGGCTATTTCCAATTTTTGTTATCACGAACACTTCTACACTCCCCTTGACACAGATGTACAAATGTTTTTCTCAAATGTATTTTTTTAAAGAGCAGAACATATTTATTGGTGGAAAGAAAGCTTCTGCCCAAGAGAGGGACAGAGGGGACCCAAGGTGGTTGCCAAGGAACCTGAGTTTTCTAGGGATTTTGATCACATTAAACCATGAGTTGAGGAGGGTCTAAGGTGGGAGACATAGGAACTGGCATACGAGGTGGGACAAAACTATGGTCAGCCAGTAAGACTACTAGCACAATATAGCTGAAAATCTACCTGGGCCGAGTTTGTGTTGTCTAAAACCAAAGAATGAATTTTAGGAACTGTGGAGATTAAGAACAGAAAGGGGCCGGGGAGATGGCTCAGTAGAATAAGTGCTTCCCTGGCAAGCACAAGAGCCTGAGTTCAATCCCTGGTTCAGAAAAAAAAAAAAAAAAAAAGATTAAGAACAGAATATATTTATTGGGGGAAAGAAAGCTTCTGTCCAGAGAGGGACAGAAGGGGGTCCTGAGTTGGTTGCCTCCCAAATGTATCTTCAGAGATGGGACTACTAGGTCACAGGCAGTCTTAATTGAACAGTAACTGACCCAAATCCCCTTCTTTTTCTACTTCTCCCTAGAGAAGGGACCGGCCTAAAGTCACACAACAGGCTGGTAACAGTTTTGAGAAATGATCTTTTAATTTATTCTTCTTACATATGCTAAGCCACTCAGACTCTGAGTCAGTAGTTCTCAAAGTATGGACAGACACCCCTAAGGGTGCCAAGATCCTTCTGGATCATTTGCTCTTAATGTTTCCACTAGTTTTTATGATAACTCCCCAGTCTTAGTTGCATTTTTACTTATTTTCTTAAAAAATGGATATCAGATTTTCTACAGACTATGGGGTATATAAGGACATCATTGCTGTGAATTTAAGGGACTATGTGCTGCATATTCTTGTATTCTAGCTTCCCATATGGTAAATACAGGCAGATATAACCCAAATGAATATAATTTTGTGGTGTCAAAGACCTGAAGCCAAAAAGGTTGTGATCTGTTAATATAAGCAACTCTCAGTCACCAGATTCTAAGGCTCTCCTCCTCTCTCACTGATATTTTTGGAATGAGAGGAAAGGGGCCCTGAGGTCCTGCAAGTGACAGCAGATGTGACAAGAGCTTGTGCTATTTCTCTGGACATCTTCTCTTCTCTTTTTCCTTCTCCCCTGCTCTCCTCCCTTCTCCTTCCTTCCTCCTCCTCCTCCTCCTCCTCCTCATTTTGTTGTTGGTTTAGTGTGTGTGTGTGTGTGTGTGTGTGTGTGTGTAGAACTCTACCACTGACCCAAATCCCCAGCTCCCCTCTTTTTGAGACAGGGTCTCATTCATAGTTCAGACCAGCTGGCATGAACTTACTGCATAGCTCAGAGTTGTCTCAAACTCGAGGTGATCTTTGTGCCTCAGCCTCCCAAGTGCTGGCATTATGGCATGTACCACCAGGCCCTGTGACACTTCTTGTTACTTTTCTCCTGGGTAGTACCTTCCTTTTCTACTTCCTTCCATACTCAAGGCCCATGGAGGGACCCATCTGCCATCATGGGCCCAGGAAACTGAAACACCTGTACCCAAGTCTCCTTGGGACTCAGGCTACTTTGGCTCTTCCCCAAGCCCCACTGGGGGCTCAGGGGTTGAGAACAGAGCTCTGGGTAAGAGGAGGCAAAGCCAGCCTGGAGGGTAGTGCAGCGCTGCTCTCCACAGTGCCCAAAGTGAGCCTTTAGGATTCTACAACCCTAGCCCTGTCCCCTCATTGCAGCTCGGAGATTCAACCTGCAGAAAGCGGAGGACATGCTGCGAAAGGTGAGGGCAGTGCCTCCCCCAACCCAGTCTGCACCCATTTCCTACTTTTGGCTTGAGGCACAAACCCATTCACTCACTCACTCACTCATTCATTCATTCATTCATTCATTCATTCATTTATTCAGAAACATTCGTTTACTGAGCACTAAAGGTGAGCCTAGACCTGGGCTGGGCACAGAGGAAAGTGGGGTGATGGGAAGAGACAGAAGAAACCAGATAAACAAGTAAACAATACAACTCCCGAGAGTGGAGAGTACACTGAAGAGAGTAAAACAGGAGGAGAAAGGAGGAAAGAAAGGAGGAAGAGAGGAAAGAGGGAGGGAGGAAAGGATGGAGAGAGGGAAGGAGGGAGGGAGAGAGGGAAGAAAGGAGGGAGGAGGGAAGGAAGGAAAGAGGGAGGGAAGGAGAGAAGAGGAGGAAGGAAGAGAAGAAAGAGGGAGGGGAAGAAGGAAAGGAAGGAGGGAGAGAGAGGAAGAAGACAAGAGGGAAGGGAGGAAGGCTGGTCGGGGCCATTTCCCGGGGACATGAGTGCTCCAAAAGAGCAGGCACATAAAAGTGAAGGCAGCAGCCCAACCTGTACAAGGGCCCTGAGGTGGCAATGAGCTGGCTGTACTCCAGGAACACACAGAGGTCACACTGTAGAGAGGACGGAGAGAGACAAGGCTGCATGGGGGTGGAGGCCATCACCTGGGCCCTGCAGCCCTCTGCAGGGTGTCTAGGCTTTTGTGTCAGAGTGACTGGAACCCAGGGAACAGAGTTCTGCTGTGCAGATTTCCAGGTGGCCATGTGCAGCTGAGACTTGAGGAGCAAATGAAGGACGTAGGGCCACGGGCAGGCCTTCCTCACCTGGAACTCTCTGGGCCTCTCCTCCCTCTCTCCACTTCTAACTGGGTCCCCTCCTGTCCCCATCCCCAGCCTAAGGGCAATGTGACAGGCTCTCAGTGGCTCTCAGTAGGCATGGGGTCCTGGTCTGGGGTCTGAAGGTCTTGCCAGAGGTCTTCAGTGCCTGTCATACCTCTGCAGCACATGGAGTTCCGGAAGCAGCAGGACCTGGACAACATCCTTGCCTGGAAGCTCCCGGAAGTGAGTCTCCTTCCAACCTACACCCTAGGGGGCCCGGGAGATGGCTCCGTGGAATAAGCACTTCCCTGGCAAGCTCAAAGGCCTGAGTTCAATCCCTGCTTCCAAAAAAAAAAGATAGCTCAGTGGAATAAGCACCTTCCTGCCAACCTACACCCTACCCAGTGCCACAGCCCTAAGCCCCCGTCTCCTGTACATCCAGGTGCTAGTACTGTATGGCGCAAGTGGTATCTGTGGCCAGGACTATGAGGGCAGCCCCGTCTGGTACCACATCGTCAGGAACCTGGACCTCAAGGGGCTCTTCTTCTCCGCCTCCAAGCAGGATCTACTCAGGTCTAAGTACCAGAGCTGTGAGCGGCTCATGCACCAGTGTGAGGAGCAGACTCAGAAGGTGGGCACTGGGGTCCCTAGACCCCCACGCTACCCTCCCCAGCTGCCCTACAGCATTGTGCACACCCCATGATCTGGGCTCTATACCCAGGGCCTGCCTTCTAAAGCTCCTTGGCTCTTAGCCCTGCCAAGGAGTACTTAGTCCCAGAGAAGTCAGTAACAGATCCAAGGGCACACAGCATGAGGAGGAGCTAAGATTCACTCCTTTCCAAACTTGTCTCCAAAGCCCTTCTCGACCCACTTGGCCACTCTACCCTCCACATTTCATGAGGGAGACAGGTATTTCAGTCCTGCTGGACAAAAAGGACCGTGATTTACTCTCCTGTGGACAGAAATGAGGAAGGCAAGCTTTGGTCCTGGTGTCCCTTGGGATAGTTTCGCCCCTGCACCTAGCTTCTTGGCATGAGACTTCCAAACCAGGCAGGATTGCAACATGCCAGGCCAGTGCCCTGGGCTGGGCTGCGGGGACACTGACCTCATGGGATCTCACCTCTGGTCATTCTCCTACAGCTAGGGAAGAAGGTGGAGAAAGTCACTGCCATCTTTGATTTAGAGGGGCTGGGCCTGCAGCATCTGTGGAAGCCAGGAGTGGAGTTAGCCCAGGAGGTAAGACAGCCCCTGGGGTGTTGGGAGGTCCAAACATGTGGCTTGCCCCTCCCCTTGCTGTGGGGGACCTGGGTGAGGAGACCCTTCTTCTCTTCCTCCCTCTCTCCCTTCCTTCCCTTTCTGTTTTCCTGGCTACACTGTACACCTACCCACCCACAGCCCCATTCACAGCTCCTTACTGATCAATAGCTAGGGTGTTTTCAAGCCCACAGCCCCTTGTTGGGAGATGGCACTCCAGTGTCACCATGTTGAGCCCTGAAGGTCACAATAGGGCCTCTTCTCAGGGCGGCCAGGGTCCCTCTCATCATATTCCTACCCTTCTCATCCCTGACCTGTGACTGGCCCTCCCTCCCAGAGGCCCTGCCTGGCCCTGTGCTCCAAGGCCTTGGCCTTTCTGATTGCTTTTTTC